GGATTTTCTCCTATTATAGATAAAAACTACTATTCACTAATTAATAACGATTGGAAATGCAAACACAGATGAGAAGTAATAAGGTGTAAGGATAATTTAAGCATGAAGTCTTGAATAAAATTTGAAGATGACGTGTCTCATCTAAGACCTACCAAAATACTCGTACTTACATATTCTAAGAAATACAACACTAAGTCAAAATACTTGATTAATATTCCGTACGTTCTAATAATAAACTTTAATACAAGTTTTCAATATGCGAACCGAAATCAAAGCATCTACATTAATATTCCGAGTTGTGCCTTACGTACTCGTATTATTGATTTAATGAAATATACTTAGTATTACATGGTATTACTTTATAAATAAGTCGTCACTAGCGTTGTGTGACAGAAACTTTCATCTATCGATATCGAATAATATGTGGTTTGAAGCCAAAGTTGTTATCAAAATGGAAATTTCATCTCAAGTACGTTACACGTTTGATATTTATATACCTACTTCACAAAGTCTCATAAATAAATAAGGATATTTACCTGAAAATATCAAGATGTTTTGATTTTCTACCGCTGAGTTTATTGAGATATTATTTTGATAATTTAAATAAGTATCGAGATTTGTTTATCAAGTAACAACACTAATCAATTTATTCATTTGATATCTACTCCCTTAGAAATTACTACCTCAAAATTAATTATGTACTATACAAACAGCCTAAAATCTGAAACGATACACACGTTTCTCAAAATGTATCACACTTTCCTCGACAAACGTTCAAGGATTTCAATTACTAAAAGCAAAAACTCCAACATTTACGACAAAACGAAAAAGTAAATATTGCCCATAAAATCTTTAGGACGGCACACGTTGGTACAAGTCCCTCAGCTCATCCGACCTTCCGAAAAACTGTTTTTAGGGTTCCGTACCCAAAGGGTAAAAACGGGACCCCATTCTAAGGCTGGGTTGCACCATTTTATTTAACTTTAAAAATCAAACTCCGTACAAAAAATACCGGTTAAAATTATAGTAACGGTTAAAGTTAGATGGTGGAACTCAGCCTAAGACTCTACTATATGACGTTAACTTTCACCACGCTGTAAATATCTCCTGATCCATAATAGCTAGAAAGTTGAAATTTTCACAAATAGTGTGCTTATTTCTGTTGCCGCTAAACCATAACATAGCTACTAAAAACCAAACAGAATAAAATAACTTTTTAAGTGGAGCCACCATTCACCTATTGTAATTTTTTGCCTTTCTTGCTCGAAAAATCTTAATTTCAGGAAAAAACTATGTAGTACTTACAAGTTTGTACAGAACCCTGGGTACGAGTCCGACTCGTACTTGTGCACTTTTTTAGATTGTAACAACGACCGTTCCGCATGCCCAAGTATTTTAAGATTTTCAATACTGACTTGAATTGATTCGTGATATTTTTCTAGAGCATTTTCCTGTATCTCTGCCCTTGAAGAATTATAACGCTGATCAATGAAACCAGGTAACTCGTAACAAATATAAGGTTTCATAATTAAGTATTGATTGCAATAAAGTTTGATCTTCTAATTTTAATGATTGGAGGAATGTTGTTGTCGAATGTAACAAAAGTTATTTTTATGATTGACGTAAAATACTATTATGTTGCTATCAGCTGTGGTATCAGTTACATAATTTATTGCTTTCGATCTCTGACCGGTCGTAGTATGAACAAGCCTTTCGCTTCAGTGAACTGACGATAGGGTGAAGGTCGCAGGAAGCGCCTCTATGCGGGTAGGGCAGGATTGATCGTTGTAGAAATCTTTGGTAGAGAGGTTTTTGTCCAGCTGCGGACTTCTTTTGATTGAAACAAATAAATGAACTAATAATCTGTTGTCAATACACAATTTAACTTTATTTTTGAGACAGTAACATTTTATACGCGCCATAAAAAAGACAGATTCTAAACCACACAGGTGTAACTCTATCCTCCCACAAATGTTTTCCAAACCTCGTTTATAAAAGTTCGCCTTTACACAGGCTACTGTGATAATAACTCGCCAACTCCCAAACAAGATAAGAACATCACGGCTACGACAAACATGAAAGCTGTTTAGAGTTTTTAAGAAGAACGGGAACAGCTTTGAGATCGCCGGAGGGTAGGTATAGGTCGCTCAACGAAAGTTGAGGCGAACAAGTCCTTACATTGATGTAATATTTGAAGAACACAAACAACACACTACACATTCAAGTTCATTTATCGAATCACTAGCTACCTCACTCTTGTTAATTAATGTCTGTAAGCGAGACAGAAAGCGCAATATACTCTGCTTGAGTTGAAGGCCTCAATTATTGTTGAGCTACCTATAGCGCGTGAGAACCTAAAATCGAGCGTTATAAGTTTTTTCACTTTAGCCGTCCTTTTGGCGACATGAAAATGGTAATGCTTGTAGACTTTTATTTTATTTCATGTCTTTTGTGGTAAGGGCATTTATTGTGGACGATCTATATCTATACTAATATTAAAAATGCGAAAGTAACTCTGTCCGTCTGTGTGTCTTGCTTTCACGCCTAAACCACTGAAATTTTACAGTTTTTATCCCGGTCTTTGAAACAAGGACGCGCGCGATAAAGTTTTTCTGTGACAGACAAAATTTCACGCGGGCGAAGCCGCGGGCGGAAAGCTAGTTGTTAATAAAACAATAAACACAACGAAAGCTTATCAACGTATGTATCTTCACTTAAAATGGAAACTAGTATTTTTATATTTTATTATCCAACGCCTAACCACCAAAAAAAACCTTATTGATATATTTAGGTTTGTAATAATACGATTCAAAATACGTTAAATTATAGAAAAACGTATTATGTGTAATCAACTGTATGAAATTAGGTATATTTAACCTGCTCAGGCAACCAGCCTTATAATATGAGTAGATAAACTAAAAGCGAGCCTACCTCGGAAGTTTGGCGCGGAATAAATTTACATTAATGTACCACCGTGACACAATTATACAGGCTCTCAGTTTATCTAGTTGTCACAGAAAGTATTACTGGTGTTATGAATGTAACATAGGAGTTATTATTCTGTCTCTAGAGTTGTTAAGATATTGTACTTTTAATAAGTTGACATCTGAGGGCCTTATGGGAGTTTACATCAAACGCGCTCACTAGTGAGCGCGTCAAAAAATGACATTAAATGTATGACGGATTGTACAGCGCCCCTAGCGGGAAAAGTTCAAAACTAAAATTTTCATACATTTTTTAAACTCACACTCAGCCCACTGTTAAGCCCTTTATAGTTACAATATCAGTATCATTTTAAGATCTTTTTTATTAAATTTAAACAAGTAGTTAATCAACATTGAAGTATCAACCTTTGAAGTCTTGAAGTGTCAGAATTATCATACAAAGTTTTATGCCAAATTGTTTACATTCCAACAAATCTTCTCTAGATGCACATCTATCTTCTACAGATTTGGGTAAATGGTTTAACTAAACATCCATTATATGAAACTTGAAAAGAACAGCATTATTCAAAGTAAAAAGTATAACGATAAACAAATCAAAATATTTTAAATTAACGACGGTAAAATACTTCCCACTTATTCCGTAAGGAACAAGTTTGTTTAGGACGTGCTTATACGCCCGTAAATATTCTTTGACAAATCTTTGGGCAAAATAAGAAAATTAAACATTAAAGCAAAATCCCTAATTTCTTACGTTACTATGTTAGTATTAGCAATTTCGTTCTGCTGACTCAAAGGCCTATAAATAATTATGTTTATTAAGAATACAAAATACTTGTGAGAAAAATGGGCCTGCGGCGCCGATCTTTGCAAAACTTCTGTTATTATTTCTATTTACATTACAACTTTTGCGATAAGTTTATCATTTGCTTTAAAAATACAACAACAATTTCACAAGGTAAACGGCACTCTGATACTTTTCAGGCAAGTAAAAAGTTGTCTCTGTATTTTGAATCTAAAAAAAATCACAACAGTTTTTAAATCTTTTTAGTCCCGTAACACACACTTGAAGAGCATTGTGTTAATTTGTGTAAAACTTAAATATTAGTGTCTATCAACATAATATGGCTGCCACAGAATACCAGTGTCATGTCATGCTGAGTGGCTGCCATTTTGGTTCAAATTAAACTATGTTAGTAACTATGTTTTAAGTAGTCTAAGGATATTTGGACTAAATAAAAATATTTTCTTTATTTCTTAATAGAAACACTTCCAGGCACCACAATTTAGATCTTGCTCTGTTTATCATTATCTTAGATGAAATTAGTCATATTATTATGTATAATAAATAGTAAATTACTTGTATGTACAAAACATGTGACTCTCGTACAATGACTCTCCCGCACCCCCAATGGTGCTAACATTATACTTTTAGCTGGAGGCAACGCAACTGTGACTTCACTGAGCTCAGATTATATTTTCTACATAATAACTATCCGCGACAAGCGCTCCTCCTTTAATGCTTATAGCGAGGGAATGGAATGTCCTGACGTCAGTGTTTTGGAATTTATACAGCACCAAGACCTTTGGAGCACGAGTAAATAGATATTTACCTTCTTAGAGAATATTATGCAACTTTTGAATGAAATTATGAATTACAGCCAACCTATTTACGATGCAATTATGTTAAAAGGTTCTAAATAATTGCACATGGTTAGTTAAAGTAGGGAGTAAAAATCAAACTTATTAAGTAAAACGTACTTATTATTATTCTGTGGTAAAACTTACAAGATTACTTGTATCTGTATCTATCGTGCCTACTGCTGCATCTTCTGTGTAGCAAAGATTTACAGCTTGACCACCAATAAAAACCAGCCACTAAGGACCTATATTGTCATCAGGGAAAGTTCAACTGTCATATGACCCGCACAAAAGTAATCCGAAGAATGTCGGTGGAAACTCTCGGCTTTCTAGCTCTCTTCAGCCTTAAAATGTACTAATATATTGTATATGCTATGCCAGATGATTAATAAATCGTTCTTTTTGTTCCAGATTATGAAGCCCCGAGCGGGGCAGGGCCTCGTCCAGGCGCTATGTGGAGTGCGAGCGTGTTCTTTTTCACACAGATAGTGGTGTGTCAATTCGCTACTGGTAAGTTGATAAGCTCTACCCAACCCATAGACAAATCTCACACTCGAAGAATTAAAATACACTTAAAACTTTCTAAGAAGTCAAGCATAGATTGATAAGAGACGAGCTTGTGATTGATCTAACTTTTTTTTTTTTTTTTATCCACAACGAGGAAGCTCTTGGCCTGTATCTCACCTGATGGTAAGTGACGATCAGGCCGAAGGTGGAAGCGAGCTTCACCCGGAATCCTCAACCACGGAGGAACTGGCTATCTTACCTCTAACTGCCGGAACACAACAATGCTGTTAACATTGTTGTTATGGCGACAGACTTAGGTAAGATGGTGGTAGCTAGCCAGGCGGACTTAGAACAAGCCCTACCACCAACCAAACCGAACAGAAAAATCTGCCCCCACTGGGAATCGAACCCGGGACCTCTGCGTCTGAAGCAGGTGGTCTAACCACTAGACCACAGAGGCGGTTAACTAAATACTGGTATTCAACCATTGTGGAATTGTGCCATAAACCAATCTGAAAAACATTAGGGGACACTTTAAGGCAGAATAGGCAAAGGCACAGTTGGACGTCCTGTGGCAGAAATAATGATGATGATGAACTATCGTAAATGAAATGCTAAGTTCAAGTAATTTTGAATTACCTACGAGCCATGCCTGTTTTCACCATCAATCCCTAATTTCTAAGTGACCCCTATGAAAACAAAATTCCTGTTATGTGTTACCATAGAGGTCACATAAAAATTAGGGATTTATGGTGAAAACAGGCATAAGATGATAAAAAGTCCTTTAATATAGAATTCTTACGTCATGGATAAACTTGTATTGCGGTACAAATTGTTGACAATTTCTGGGCCACTCATGTCTCAACAAAGTAGGTAACCTATTTATGTGGCTCCTAAACCGCTTCGTAAATGCCCTATTCCAGTCGCTTCCAGCTGCACTAGCCATAAAAATCTGCAACGAATGAACCGTAATGACTTCTAGCCAAGCTAATGCGTTGCCTTAGAGCCAAAGCACACGATGCGTTGCGGCGGTGCGACGCCGGAGCGGTGTCACTGCGTCATAAGGCGGGAACAAGCCTTATTATTTGCTGGAACTGTTTTTTGGAGGATCCCGTTTAGAAGTTACTTGTTTTAGTACTAACGTTCCACGAACATCCCGTACCTCTAGTACGAAAAACTTTCGAGTTCGTTTCGTTGCGTATTCAAAGTGTCATCGAAAAATTTTGTATGAAAAATTAAACAGCGCCCCCTATATTATAGCCGCCCTAGGGGGCGCTGTTTAATTTTTCATACAAAATTTTTCGATGACACTTTGAATACGCAACGAAACGAACTCGAAAGTTTTTCGTACTAGAGGTACCGTTTGTTGCCGCAAGAGACCGATCCGTTCGAATCTGTAATTCGAATTTCAAACACACAATGTACGTTCACACGATAGTCCAGTTTTACGAAAGCATCACTGGATCCTCAAAACTGGATTGTCGTAGAAAACAGTCCTTACAAAATATCGTGCCGACGACATCGTAAACGTAGCAGGAAGGCGCTGGACGCAGGCCGCTACCAACCAGGCAACATGGAGAGCATTGGAGGAGGTCTGTGTTCAGCAGTGGACGTTCTATGGCTGAGATGATGATGATGATAATAGAAATATCTGTGGCGGGCACACGAGCGGTGCGTCGCAGTCGCGGGATACGGTGAAATCTTGGCGCCGCAACGCATCGTGTGCTTTGGCTCTAATGCAAACTGTATACTGCATTGCATTAGCAGATGACAATATTTGCGTAAGGCGTTGCTGATTCGGTACTCTATATTCACTGTGTAGCTTTGCTGTGTAGTTTATAGTCGCTATTATGCTAGTCTGGAGCCTGGACTTCATAAACTGGCAGCCATAATACAAGTTTAATTTTAGCTGGGGCGCTAGGGTTCACCGTACCTCTGCTGACTTTAAATTAAACGAAACAGCACAGTTTTTTATCGTGTACAGTATTTTGTTATGATTAAGGATTATTTTTATAAAATTATCCCGTAGAAAATATTTTCATATTGTCCAATCTTCGTGGTCCGCTTCGTTTGGGTCATATAGTTTGACTTTGATAAATTGAGTAACGTTTTTTGAGTTAAAAACATGAAAATCCACAAGATAAGGGTTTTTTATTGATAAAACTTTCCTAAGTGACAAGAGCGAAAATTATGAAAAAATTACACTGAGTTTTGCGAAACCCAAATTCCAATGGTTTCGTGATTCAAACTCAAATAGATTAGACATAATTACGTTTTTAGCAGCTCGAAGCTGTACCAGAAATGATAATGACATCTTTCTTTTCCAGAAAACCCCTCATCAACGACTGAAGAAGACACAACCGTGACGTCATTCTACGCGCTCAGTACAGGCATCGCCCCCGCACCCGTTCTACTCCGTTTAGGAAACTCGACCATAGACAGCACTAAATCTTTCAAAGTGCCACAACCATCGCAGGAACCTACGTCAGCGCCGGTGACGTCACAGCCGCAGGTCGAGATGGTGCCACATGTGGTGTTAAAGAACACATACTTCGACCATGATAGGAAGTATGGCCCGACCTTTGAAGATATGCCTGAAGGGAACATAACGAAAATCACTGTACAGTTGGGCGAGGACGCACATTTGAACTGTAGGATTAGTCTGCTATTGGATAAAACGGTAAGTGTTTTTGTATAACATGTCAGTTAGTTCATTCATTTCAGCCTACTGCAGTCCACCCTGGCCAAAGGTTAGGTTCCCCTAAGGTTTCCACAACGACTGTGTGTTTATGGTAAACACAGTTTTTGTTACGTGTGCTCGCTAGCGACTACGTAAAAAAATGACATTAAATGTATGACAGATTGTACGGCGCCCCTAGCGGCTACTTTCAAAAACTAAAATCTTCATAGATTTTTTAAACTAACGTAAACTCATGGTAAGCACACTGGTCCTGCGCTACCTGCATCCAGGTGCTTTCTGTGACCTTTACCAAATCCACCAATTACTATAGGCAATCCTGAATAAATAAAACTAGGATTGGAATATTTTATTTAACACACACCAACTAAATCGTATTTTTAAGATAAATCTTTAAAAAGTATTCAAGAGAGAAGAGAGAAGAAACCTGAGTCTGGTCTCTTGTTAGGAAACAGCAAGCAAGTAATAATACCAAAAGTTTTTAGCAATGCCAATTAAAAGCAAATAAAGTATCCGAACGTCCAAACATAACCATTACTACAAATTACTGCGGGGTCGATTTATAAAATCGTTTTGGCGCCAAAAAAGGTCAAGATTACAATCGTAGGGCTCCATCAAAATGCCATTAGGGCGGACTTAAAAACACCTAAATTGATGTAGACTACGTTTCGTGTCCTAACTTAGGCAGAGGAAAAGGCAAACTTAAAACTAATGCTGCCTATTTAAGAGACGCACGTCAATTTTGGGATTTGTATACAAATTCATTTAGGTCTGAAACATATCTTAGGCAATATATTTATAAAGGGACTGTATCCCAATACAGTCCCTTTATGAATAAATAGCAGCAGTGGGCTGCTAGCGTTTTTTTATGCAAGATAGTGTTTACAAACCTCTTTGCCTTCTAAGGAAATACTTTTTAAGACACACATTTCCTTTTTGCGTTACAGGCGGCTTCCCACAATGCTTAATCTACTTAATTTGCTAACTCTCTCACTCTTATGTAACTTTACGTTGTTTATATAATTTTCAGTGTTCAACCGAGTATCCTTTTAGTTAGAAAACTTACAAATAGTGCATTCATATTTAATTAGGCTACCTAAATAAGTAGCCGTATCTAAATGCAGCATTAACTTTTAGGGAAATTGCAGAATCTAAAAGCCACATTACGTTTCGACGCAATTGCGGGAAGTCGTTGTCACTATACGATGCTGCAATTCCTGTAAATAAACACTATGTCTGTCAATTTGGGAACTTTTCTGTGCTACACAAGTGTTGTATGAAGCACCATACGTATGACGCTTAAGCCAAAAGCATTATAAACTATTCACGTGCGAAGTGGAAAAGTTGAGAGAGTCCACATGTGCTGGATTCAGACAACGTCAGCAATTATGGTTTAGCGCACACTAGGCGACAAAATTTTGTGGCCGCGTCTGTCACCGCGATTTGTCGCCCAGTGTGCGCTGTCACTCAATGTTGATGTATGTTCAACAGATTTTACAGAATGCGATGTTAACATAAATGCTATTTTACAACAAAAATATGTAGACTAGTATGATGCTATTGTGTTTTCTATATTCCTATATCGAGAGGGCTGGAAGACGTAGCGTGGGCAGGCCTCCTACTAGGTGGACCGACGATCTGGTAAAGGTCGCGGGAAGAGCCTGGATGCGGGCAGCGCAGGACCGTTCATTGTGGAAAGCCTTGGGGGAGGCCTTTGTCCAGCAGTGGACGTCATTTGGCTGAAAAGAAGAAGAAGATATCGAGAGAATTGTATTTATAGACCTAAACCTTTCCTATTGTGGTTCACTTGAAATAATATAGTAAAATACCTTAATCTTTATTTGACTTCTAAAGAAGACATTTATTTACGCATGCTTCGTATCAACGCCCTACCAAATTATAAAATGTTTCATTATAACCACAACACAATTTGAAAATACAAAATAATAGATGCCTAATAAGTTTAACAAACAGAACAAAGAACACAAAATACCTCCCCTAATGTTCTAAAAGCGACTAAAATCTTTTGTTAGTGCCTAGCCATCAAACGAAAGTTTCGGGAATTTATCAAAGTCACTTTGAAAGGATGAAAGTATTCAAATAAACTGCGTATTTTCGTCGCCTACTTTCGTTAAACTAAAGTTAAATTTTCAAGCCACTCTTAGATCGTAAAGCACTAAGTGGAACTTGTGTGAAACTAAAATTTTGGCACTTACTAGCGCGTGTAAACTTGTGTAAGAAAGAATGATGTGCTTGAAGAAAATACTGAAAGTTTTCGTTACATCGATCTTTCACTAATATCTTAACAGCTTAGGCCGAGTGCACCATTTTACTTTGACTTTGAAAAATGTCAAAAATCTATTAAACTTCTTAGGCTGAGTCGCACCACCTAACTTTAACTGTATCTTTGACGATAACCGGTGCTTTTTGTATGGAGTTTGACAGATTTTTGACGTTTGTCAAAGTTAAATTAGGATGGTGCAACCCAGCCTTACTAAAAGCACCGGTCATTGTTAAAGTTACGGTGAAAGTAAGTTGGTGCAACTCAGCCTTATTGTACACTAGCTTTCCGCCCGCGGCTTCGCCCGCGTGGAATTTTGTCTGTCACAGAAAAACTTTATCGCGCGCGTCCCTGTTTCAAAAACCGGGATAAAAACTATCCTATGTTCTTTCCCGGGACTCAAACTATCTCTATACCAAATTTCATCAAAATCGGTTGCGAGGTTTAAGCGGGAAAGCGTAACAGACAGACAGACAGACAGACAGACAGACATACAGACAGACAGAGTTACTTTCGCATTTATAATATTAGTTGGGATATTAGTTTAACACATTTCAATTTATCTATAATCGAAATTTATCAAAATTGTTCTTTTGGAGTTGTTAAAAACTTTAGAAACTGCAGACAAAAACTAAACTAAACAATAACTAGAAAAGCCATCGAATTATGCTACAATACACTTGTATAAAGAAGCTCAAAGAATTAAACCATGCAGCTTGTGTACCATTACGTCGGTGTAAAATTACTCGTGTCTCCAAGCTAAAATTCCATTTTTTAAATTTTTCGCCGACACAGGACTGAAATCTTGATAATGTGGCGCTGCGTCACACGCTCGCTCGACATGTGCCAGATTCGCCGACAATTTGTCTGCGATCGTTAGTACACCGACACCGACCGTCCCGCATTCGAGAGGAATAAAGTATGCAGCGTATTTAAAGTCGCAAGACGGATGAAAAATCACGTTTGCATAACGAGTTTAAGATGTTTTTGCAAAAAGAAAGGTTAATAAAATGCTCAGTTTGGCAAAAATTATGACTGAAAATAAAACAAATATAATTTTATCTTACTGAAACTCGCAAATGTAGAGGAGACCGAGGAGACAGGAGAGTCGTGACTGAGGAAAGTTATGACATAATTATGACGATTTTTTGGAACTTATTAACTACTAGCACAGAATAATAATAAGTACTACGTACAGAAGTTTTACTTCGCGAAGGTATTTAAAAAAATGTATGCTCAATGTCATTAACTATATGGTGTAATTTAGCCTGTCTCTAAGAGTCAAGCACCATTTTGTTGACAAAAATCCGGGATCGGCACTGCGCCGAAGCTATAGGGCTGACTTCGGTAAAATGATGTGATGTGAGGTGCCAAACTGCGGAAAATGGCGGAGGAAATACATGATTTAGCATGAATTATCATGAATAATATTAACTACTTATTTACCTCACAGTGTCTTGAGGCAACTTAAAAAAGAATGTACATTCTGTGTTTTTATTATTATTTAGTCAGTTAAATACTGCACAGTATTTAGTACACCATTTTATTTATTTTCTTCCATCATACACAAGAATACGCGTCCGTGAGTCAATGTTCGCTCGTATGTGAGGCCTTGTCGAATAGTATCCTGTAGGTGGGCCATCGTGCGAGTTTCGTTTTCGATGTAAACTCGCGGAGATGAACAGGCCTGCTACTAGCGAGCTCATAACACTACGCGATTTTTTATACTGTCTCGAGCTAACAAATAAGAGCTGTTCTGTTGCAAGCTCGCAGATAGCTAATAGGTTTCCAAAAATCGAAAATGAATCATAACTCTCCCCTGTCACAACTCTTCTCGATCTTCCCTACGAGTAAGGCCCAGAACAGACTGTGAAACGCAACTGCAATGAAACTGCAACTTTCTGATGATTCTGATGAATGAAACTGAAACTGAAAGTTTCAAACTGGTCACGTCATGTGTCATGGCAGAAACTAAGATGCAACTCAAAAGTAACTAGCAGTTGCAGTTTCGTTGCAGTTGCGTTTCACCGTCTGTTCTGGGCCTAAGTCTAACTGCCTTCTTAATAGCAAATCTGAACTCCTAAATAAAAGTAAAGACAGATCAAACAGAAACTATACATTTCTACAACAGTTTTTACCAAAGCCGCCGATTCATCCCGCCAAAGACAATTTGCCCCGTCGTTAGCCGCCGCCGCCTTCCACGCCATTTGTCAAATGAAACCAGGATACCGATAACAGATACAAAACATGAAAAATTGCCAGCGTTGGGAGAAGATTTTATTTCCCTTTTAGCGTTGGAGGAGCAAAAAATGTTTTAATGTCATCCCTGGAATTGTTAGCATTTATCTCGAGAAACTTAACCTTTCACGTATTTTTTATACTTGACCGTCCATCTGTCCGTATAAATATGAACAATGTCATATAAATTGTACTGCCACTGGTATATCCGTCTCTTTAGTTAGACGAGCACAGACGGTCTGTCTAATATGTAGCAAGCTAAAGTGACAGGTAGACGGCCATATCTGTCGCAAAATAAACGTAGTAGTACCGCACCTTAAGAAGAGACACCGTAGTAACTGGGTGAAATAAAACTTGCTTAGGGTGGATTTGACCAAACAAGAGTGAATATTGATCTCAGAATAAATCGTCAGTTATTAAACATTTTGTCATATTATTATTTCCCATACTTAAACTGTCAATGTGCCGGTTAAGTATACCATGAGTTATTCTCTGATAAAAGTTTGGTCGAATCGGACCTTAATAGTGCTCCTTGTGGGAGTACTAGTACTCTCAACAGTGGCTGATATTTTTAAAATATTGTAATGATCAGAGCTCTTTTTATCATGACAATAAAGGCCAAAATCAATAAAAGCAAATGACAAATCGAAGTTCCCATTGAAATCGGTGCGTGCAGTGAAATGCCATTTAACTGTTCACCTCAATAATTACTACAGCTATCAGGATAAGAGTAGCTAGCGATAATGGCGAGGCATTGTTACAAAGAACCCCCAATTAAAGCATCCTTCGAGCAATTATAATACTAAAGATGTGAACAGTAGGGTCTCTATCATGATCGACATAAATTTTGATTTGAGTACAAATATTTTCAAATGTCTTAGCTCCAAACTAAACAGAACTTGCACAGATGAACTGCACGTAGATCTGAGCACTTTGGTGTCTCAAGTAATTAGTAACATTAGATGCATTAGTGTGACAGAAATGTATAATAGTTTGATGGCTAGATAACATTTGCATTACTCTGCGTTCGTGAGTACATCCTGAAACTATAAAGACTGAGACTTGTAAAATATGTTTCCACTGAACCACGTACCGGAAAGCGCAGCGTAAGACGTCCACCCACAAGGTGAATCGACAACCTTATAAAGGTAGCGGGAAGGCGCTGGATGCAGGCCGCCACCAACCGGCCATTGTGGAAATCATTGGGGGAGGCCTATGTTCAGCAGTGGACGTCCTATGGCTGAAATAATGAAGATGATGATGATGATGAACCACTCAGGGTACGCTATTATGTCCGAAATATACGCAGGTGTAAGTTGTCTACTTAGTAAGTTGTAGCCACCTAGTGATTTCTTTGTACAACCGAGAACTACACAAGTGGAGTTTCTGGATCTTACTCCAGTGTACTTATAACAAAGAACCCACCCCAATTATGGCATTCTCCGTGTAATTACTGAAATCATAACGAGTATTCGAAATCGGCCCTTTGAGAGTTAGAACTTGGCCGCTTCTGAATGTAGCAAATGGGAAATTTGCGTAATCTGTGGCATTACCACGAATATCTCAGGCTTTGGATTTGATTTTATTTCCTTTGATAATTTTGACTACAATAAGAATTTAAGTTATTCTTTACAATATGCTATTCTTTTTTTAAGACTACAAATTTAAGAATAGTCCCTTTTACACCTCGTGGTAAGCTAAATAATTATACTTGTGTTAAGACTGAGTGAGTTCTCCACAAAAGTCCAGCGAATGAGACGTTCGAACCCGCGTTCCTCGAATTTCGATTCGGACAGTTCGATACTGGCATCGTTGGGCTATTGTCGCCTAATAAAATGTACCTATTATTTTGCGGAAAGCTAAATATTCTTCTGTAACGAGTGGATCACAACAATAGTTCAGCGAACGACAGGGCTTAAACTCGCGCTCCTCGGATACGACCAGTTCGAACCCGACAGCGTAAAAAAGTAAAACGTAAAAAGTTTATTCAATTATTCGCAAGAAGAATCGTAATAGCGAGTAGAATCTACATTATGGAGCAAATTTAAATTCAAATACTTATTCGCACAATTTTGGGAAATCAAATAAAGGAGAATTTGTCTCTTGTAGTGATAAAATCGTGACGCATTGCGGTCGCAAGTGTTCCAACGCGCCGTGTAGGATGATCTTAACTGGGTTGAACGCCCACACATTCTGTAGCACTTTAGAGTACTCTTATACTACTCCTTTTTACCAGATTACGACAAAAGAAGGGTTATGATTTTAGCTGTCTATGCTGTATGATTGTATTTACGTATGTTTCTCAGTAACGTCTAAACTATTCATCCGGTTTTGATGATTATGGTATCAACCGATTTGTTATGGCAGGGGTAACATGAGCTACATTTTAGGTTTTAGCAATTCTTAGTTTTTTTTTTTTCCATAAGCAAGATATTTATTTATTTTTGTAGTAAGTAGGCACTATTAGATAATAAATAACACAATCAATACTTAATTGATATAGGCATGAGCTGGAAAAACGCGATTTTTCTTCGTAAATTTTGTTGATAAAAAGGAACAAGAGACGTGAAAATTAGTATTGGGTTTCTTCGCCACGTGTGGTAGGCACTTTTCTGAAAACCGAAACAAACTAAAATGAAGCTAAATCTTGTAATTTATCCGGAGGTAAATTACACACGGTAATTATGTTGTACCTGATATTATCATAAGTAATTAAGGTCTTATTATTACAAACAAGATACGGTAGCCAAAGCTTTTTATTCCGCATGATGTCACTTGAGAAGATAATTCCTCGACGTAAAATAGAGATGAGCATTAAGGAAAACACCAAAAAATTATTTAAATTATTTAAATTAAATTTATGTATTTAAAAAAAAAGTATATAAGTAGTATATCCGTTAAGCTAGCACCCATAACACAAGCATTAAAATTGTCCAAAGATTTATTTATTTATTACTAGCTGACCCGGCGAACTTTGTTCCGCCTTAATGGCAATAAATAAGCAGACTTTTTTTTACTTTCGAACGGGATAAAAAGTATCCTATGTCCTTCTCCTGGCTCTAAACTACCTCCCTGACAATTTTCAGCTAAATCGGTTCAGCCGTTCTTGAGTTATAAGTGGAGTAACTAACACGACTTTCTTTTATATATGTATATAGATTCTTTTATTATAAAGTTAATTAATCTAAAATAACCTTTATTGTTTATGGTAAACAATAAACGATAATGGTTACTTTTACTTGGTAACAGCAGCACCAATTAGCCCCGAGGGAAATAACAAAATACACTTTGTATTACCATCTGCAGAGCACAACGAAATTTGGAATAACTGCGACGTGTTAAATTGTGTATGATAAGTACACTTTGGTACATCGATAGTTTTGTGGAGAGATGAAAAGAGATAATAGACTGTATGATAAATTTTGTAAGCCACGAATTCATACGAGCAGTCATTACGTATACTTATATTACTTACTAGCTTTCCGCCCGCGGCTTCGCCCGCGTGGAATTTTGTCTGTCACAGAAAAACAATATCGCGCGCGTATTTGCTCACCGTTTAGACCTACCCTGGACTACGACAAACATTTTAAAACCAAAATCAGCTCAATCGGTCCAGCCGTTCTCGAGTTTTAATCAGACTAACGAACATCAATTCATTTTTATTTATATAGATAGATAGATAGTCTGTAAAATAGGACTACTCCCACTCTTACCGTTGAGGTCGTAAGAGGCGTTCCTTCGTCTCAGCCAAATGACGTCCACTGCTGGACAAAGCCCACGCCCAAGGATTTCCACAACGACCAGTCCTGCTCTTCTCGGATCCTAGCACCTCCCTCACCCTTGACCAGATCCTCGGTCCACTTAAGTCTATCATAAGAGGCGACTAAGAGAAAAATATTCTAAAATCAGACCTGAGATTGGATTGAGAAAGGCCTCCCCCAAGGTTTTCCTACGCTGCCCGCATCAAGGCTCTTCCCGCGACCTATATCAGATCATCGGTCCACCTAGTAGGAGGCCTGCCCACGCTACGTCTTACAGCCCGTGGTCGCCACTCGAGAACTTTTCTGCTCCAACGGCCATTGTCTCTATGAGCTATATGCCCCGCCCACTGCCGCTTGATTTTAGCAATTCTGCGAGCTCTTTCTGCAGTGGAGACTTCAGTTTCAGTCTGACCCGCTAATGTTGATGATGAATTATATTATTTTAACTTTGACTTTTGTTCTAGGTGTCATGGGTCCGCCGAAGAGGTAGAGACGAGATGCCCGAACTCCTCACAGTGGGTGCTGTCACGTACGCGGCTGACAACAGGGTGTCGGTGGCTAAGAGGTACCCTGGCAACTGGAGGCTGCTCATCAGGGAAGTGAAGCCAGATGACGAAGGCGTCTACGAGTGCCAGATATCCACTCACCCCCCGAGAGTCAGTAGGACGTATTTACATATTAACAGTGAGTATAAGTTGGGATTTAAAAGAAATATTACTCTGAGTAGATATTTTTTATGAGATTCAAGTACGATTTATTTTTTTACAAATATTAATTATTCTTCTTCATTTAACCGACAAATTCACTAGTGGATAATTCCCATAAATACCATTCATATAGTTCCACTAAATTATTTTAATTAGGAGATTAATGAAAATAATTTAGTGGAGCTATTTTCATAATCAATTATTTTGGGCTCTCAAAATGAACACAAAATGTATTAAAATCACTTATTTTTACATTCTATAGCTTGCGTGCAGTTTATTTATGATCAGACATAAATGCAAGTATTGAAATAAATTGAATTAAATACTCTTCTGGGGTTCACCTACGCGTATTTCAAATCACACCAAATAATTTTAGAAATTAATATAATAAAAAGAACTAACGCATAAACTATTATCTTTTCCAAATAATTTAAAACAACTAAAACCTAACCACACAATTTTGTTCCAGCCCCCCAAGTGTGGGTGGTAGACGAGGCTGGTGCTCCTCTCTTAGAGAAGTACTACGAAGCAGAATCCACTCTTGCGTTGGTCTGCCGAGCGCGTCACGTGGATACACCAGCTGTACTGACCTGGCTACATGAGGGAAGGGCACTAAACGCTGACACTACTAGAGGAGGGATCAGGTATGAAACAAATGACGTCAGATGACGTATTAATAAAGTAGCTGCGTACTTTTTATGAGCTGTCAAAACATGACTCTCCCATCTGAGTGGTGGGTGAAGCCTGTACTCCTATCCTAGAGAAGTACTACGAAGCAGAATCCACTCTTGCGCTGGTCTGCCGAGCACGTCACGTGGACACACCAGCTGTGCTGACCTGGCTGCATCAGGGATCAGGTATGAAACAAAACCACTTGGTGGATAGACGACCTCACAGAGGTAGCAGGAAGGCGCTGGATGCAGGCCGCTAACAAATAACTGGGGGAGGACGATGTTCAACAGTAAGACAGTGAGTAAATATGGCTTGTAGGTAATTCCTAGCACTTTTTTAGTTCGTATGTCTTTTTCTTTGGTAAGCAGGTAATTCGAATTTTCAAATAAGTCATTTTTATCAGGTCCTTTAGCCACCAATCTCAGAACTATGTGTTGCAAGTAGTCTACAATTAGTAATTATTATAATAATATTATCTAGTAAATTCCTAAGTATAACAGCTAAGTAAATAAACAATAACCTATTAAGGCTTCACAAATAATTTGAAACTTCAAAATACAACAGGTCTAAACTTCATGAAAGTTTAGATATTTCTAAAGTAACACAGGCTTTTAATAGGCAAAAACATGTAAATTACTTGTAATTTTGATCTTGGATAGCTTTAACAATAATTCGTACTTAAATAAATACTGAATAAGTGACGATTGTTTCTGACCGGCTGTTGTTATAACTTGAATTACGTCCAAAAAGTTAATAGCTTTTCAACTTTTCCCATCTTTCTTTTAAATAACTAAATTATACTTCTATTGTGTGGGTTATGGGGTCACCATGAGGTCTAGTTATCCCTAATGTCAGGCTACACTTCGGAGGATGTGCGAAGGAATTTTGCATGACCTAATTCCACCAGCCCCTTTCCATCACCGGGGAACCAGACGCAGGTTAGCGTACCATCCCTACATTGTCGACATTCCACCAGCTGTCTTTCCTGAACACTATAATCCGGGCCTTTTCAAGGCGAGAGTGAATAGGCACTGACAGGACAAATATGTACCATCCTAAACTGCATCTTACTTAACACCATTGCGGTCGAATGCCTTGTCCTTCATAAAAAAGTATGAATAGTAACAAACATTATTAATCACATCAATCGATTAAACTTTTAAACATACAACATAAGGAATTAAGTCCAATTTTCAACATGTGAAACCTTCTATAACAGAGATGTTTGTTTACTGCTAGGAAATAGTAAAATTCATTCTATAAAATATACATTAAGTAATTTCTAGTAAAGAACTCGCATTTCCCATTGGAAGTATCTGAATAAATAATGGCGAAGTACTTTAGAATGACATCAAAGTAAAAAAATAGGCAAGTGCGAGTCAGACTAGCGCTATGAGAATTCCGTAGCCTATTTAATCTGTTCCTTTCCACTTGGCGAGTCCATCAATTTAGATATTGTTCTAATTATTTTATAACTGATTTAAAAAACAAATTTCGAATGAATTAAGTACCTACACTTCTTTTATTCTGTTGTGTATGAGTAGAATTGCCTAAAATTAAATGTAAAGAACTAAAAGTGTGAAATAGTTAATTACAAATGAACTTTTTTTGGATTTTTCTATCTACTCTATTCTAGGTCAATGGGAAGTACCTACTCTACAGATTTTGATTCTTGTATCAGTTGTAGAGACAAAGTTTCTTGGCTTTCTTGCGCTGCTTTTTCGTAGCACTGGCCCATTTTGTACCGAAGCATGGTATTGGGACGTATAGAAGCACTTTAGAAAAAACGTACTTTCAAAAAATTACTTTTATGACTTTAGTGATCCTTCAGGTTTGTTTTCATTTCATGACACGGAACCCAAAAAGAAATTAACTCGCAAGTGTCAATTTATTCACTCCTGCCCGGTAGAACGACCTGGAACAAGTTTATTAAGTCCGAGGGAAGACGTTTTACTACGCAATACAGTTGATATACAATTCTGTTGTCATCCATAAACTAGTAATGTCAAAGTGCTCTCATTGTTTATTCAGGGCGGACGGCTGTGATTTTAAAGGAACAGGGTTACGGGGAGTAGTTATTTTTATGAATAACTTATGTAAGAGGAGGTTTTTTTTTTGGAAATTGTTGTTGTTCTCATAAAAGTTGTTAATTATGATGATAGTAGAATCTTAATTAATTTTGAAGCAAGTTAACTTTGAGTATTATAAGCTCTATCACTAGTATCATTATAGGTTTACTTACTACTGAACGTCATCATCATCATCATCTCAGCCATAGGACGTCCACTGCTGAACATAGGCCTCCCCCAATGCTTTCCATGCTGCCCGGTTGGTAGCGGCCTGCGTCCAGCGCTTTCCTGCTACCTTTATGATGTCGTCGGTCCAACTTGTGGGAGGACGTCCCACGCTGCGTTTTCCGATACGGTTTCTACTGAACGTACTTTGATATAAATACCTAACAGGTCTTGGATACCTAGGAAGGTTCTAGTCTCGTATAAAAACTATGCGATTATAAGTTCCCGTTTGTAATGTTACCACTACGACCGTTTGTAATGTTACGATTTGTCAAACCACTTCTTCAAAAGGTGTTGGGCGACAGCGTAGGGCCGAGTGAATTTGAAGAAAAGGTCATTTGTCCCCATAATTTATTTATATTACAGTCGCATTGTACGGATTTTACCTAATTTCATGTTCGTGCATACTAAGACTTCAAAAGATTCGTTTTTATACACATTTAATGTCATCTAAAGTTCTTCAGTAATGCTGTCTTACGGCTACTACAAAAAACTTGTTTGCAGTAGTAGGTCATGGTGTGAGAGCTCTAGTTTTTAAATAGAAAAATAATAAAGAAAACTTTTTTTTAATCAATATACCTAGTACCACTTTGTAACGCCACAGCGCAAATTTGAATTAACTCAACAGAGCTTGAACGCTAGCGTCACTGAGTTAGCGCAAGACACGACAAGACCCATGTCGGTTGTATAATAACTATTTGACTAGACAGTGGCCGGTGGCGTTTCCCACGACTGTAAGGTACGATGTCCCAAGAAATCAATACTCCTGTATTGTTTGAAATCTATTAATAATTTAGCTAGCTTTCGTTAAATACAGGAGCGGTGGTGCTTAAAACCGTTTATCTGTTACATTAATAGTTAAAATCAAAAGACGCGTTGAATCGTTTTGGAGATTTTAAATAATAAATAAGATATTTCTAGACAAAGAAAATCGTTTATCTGTCATATTAATAGTCGAAACCAAGAGGCACTGAATCTTTTTGGAGCATTATAATAATAAAAACGTTAATTTGGACATGCTGTCCTAAAGATTACAATGTTAGTGATTGCTGTCAACCTCGAGTAGATGTGCCGCAGGGTTCACAAAGGTGTAGTCAACAAACTATCTTTAATGCCATTTAATGAGACGCATTAAAAGCTATTATCATAATTACACACGCTTAAACTTTAGCCCGCAGAGAATCAGTGTCCAACCACGCTCTTAGGATATACTAGGCGGGTATCCTCTTTGATACAAACACCTTTTGTTTGTATCATTATTGTGTGCCTCATATTATCATTATTATGTTTTTTTGTGTCATTTTTTTAAAGCAAACAAGGCAGTTATTTGACCCCAATCGCACCTGGTGTTAAGTGAGATGCAGTCTAGGATGGTACATATCTGTCCTGTAAGTGCATTCACTCTCGCCTTGAAAAGGCCCGGATTATAGTGTTCAGGAAAGACAGAAGCAGGCAGCAATTTCCAGTCCCTAGCTGTTCGCATTATAAAAGAGTTATCGAAACGCTTAGTGCATGCTAGTGGAATAAATTAAGACTTATTACGTGATTGGAAGCTATTTTAGGAAACCGCACACGGGCATAAGAGTTTAACAGCCAGTCTAGTTACGACTGTCTTTTCTGTAATGCATGTCTGACATCAGCAACACCTAGGGTTAATGTCAGTAGTGAACCCCATCAATTAAGCGGGACGATCCATTTGCATACAGAACAGCAGGATTACATAGCAATAAGTCACAAATATACATATACTCGTATAGCTAAGCTAATCCTGTAATGCTGACGTATAACCAGCGTGTTCATCATAATGAAATAAAAATTGCCTAGATTAGTGGAAATTCTAAAAATGGAATGAAAAATCCCAATACACTCGTATTTTTAGTAACTATATTTACATGATACCTAGCATTTACATGATGACTGACAGGTTTGTAAAAAGTGAGATTTAGAACTACATAATTTCGAAGTTGTGTTGTGAGTACTGCATTTAACTGTTAAGCGTTTATTTTGTTTAAGAAACTGTGAAACCCCATTATTTGTCACTTCTAAAAATTGGTCTATTTTTAATGTAGATAAGATATTTAAGATATTTAATAAATATAAATAGATAATTATTAGGAGTAGGTAACTTTTACAATAGAGCAAATGTGACTCAGGAAATTGGAATCTGTTAACTTTTTCTCAGTAAAAGAGCTTACACCCACATGCTTACACAAAAAAAGCCTCCTCATAATATTATTTTAGACATAGATAAGCTTTGAAACTTCTTCAACTTGCCTCAAAAGTTAGCCTAAAACCTAAAAGTTCTTTCGGACTAGACACTCCACGTCACGTACAGTCAGCGTCAAAATTAGTCAAGCATGTAAAGGTTTCAAAACTTTAGTCATGTGTACTAAGTACTAAAAATAAGTTCTTACCTTAGACCCAAGCCACAGCTGCGATTGTGCGGTACTTATTCGAAGGGACGGGACGAGGGATAGTGTGAAATTACTTTTCCATTTGCTTTTTGTGGTCAGTTTTGTTAGAATATACAGGGTGACTTCGCAATAAGTATCCAAATTTTTTTAATAAGCTCTATAGAACAATCTATACTAATATTATAAAGCTGAAGAGTTTGTTTGTTTACTTGAACGCACTAATCTCAGGAACTACCGGTCCGATTTGAAAAATTATTTCAGTGTTAGATAGCCCATTTATCGAGGAAGTCTATAGGCTATATACCATCATGCTACGAGTGCAGATACGATAGGTGCAGAGCAACAATGAAAAATGTTACGAAAACAGGTTTTCACGCGTACGAAGTCGCGGGCACAGCTAGTTTAATAATACAACTTTATCGTAATTGTTTTAAATCATGTATTTTTCCCGAAAAAAAAATTGAAAATCTAATTCGCTTATTTTCGCGCACCATTATCTCTATTAATCTTTGCAGTTAACAGACAGTGTGTACGTATTTTTCTATGAATGAAGCAAATTATCCACGTGTGCCAGTTTTGAAACCGCGCGCTGCGGATAAAAATAATAAAATATGAAAAAAAAAATTTTTTTGTTTTCTTTGCGTAAATCGATTGAGGTCAAAATCACCCTATATTTTGATTAAACTTTTTGCCTGAAAAATATAATTCTGTGCAAGCAGGTACTCGTTAAATTGAGCTTTGCCATACATCTAGCTAGAGCAGAGCGAATCATTAGCGGACCAAAAACTAAGTAAATTATGATTGACATGAAAGAACGATGGTTGATAATGTGATCTAAAACTGTGGGGAGATTTAGAAAGCTATTACCGAAAGATCATCATCATCATTTCAGCCAAAGGACGTCCACTGCTGAAAATAAGCCTCCCTCAATGACTTTCACATTGCACGGTTGGTAGCGGCCTGCATCCAGCACCTTCCTGCTACCTTTATCAGGTCGTCGGTCCACCTTGTGGGTGGACGCCCCACGCTGCGTTTTCCGATACGCGGCCTCCATTCTAGAACCTTGCTGTCCCATTGGCCGTCAGTTCTGCGTACTATGATAGATGATGATTATACCGAAAGATGGAATGGCACTAATATTGATGGCTGCTATGAAGTCTGACATAAAGGTAATGATCCCTGCCAGTTGTAATAACCCACTCAATAGAATAAAAACTAGACATAAGCTCCAACTACGTCCCACACGTCTCAGCCTAAGTTTTTTTTTATGCTAGACAAGGCAGGTATTTGACCGCAATCGCACCTGGTGTTAAGTGAGATGCAGTATAAGATGGTACATATCTGCCCTGTAAGTGCCTATTCACTCTCGCCTTGAAAACGCCCGGATTATAGTGTTCAGGAAATACAGCAGCAGGCAGCGAATTCCAGTCCCTAGCTGTTCGCATTATAAACGAGTCGTCGAAACGCTTAGTGCGAGCTGGTGGAATGTCGACAATATAGGGATGGTACGCTAACCTGCGTCAGTGTAAATATTTCAGCAGATGCAGCAAATCTTACATTAGTTTTTGAGAACACTACTATAATAAATTACGAGTAGTAGTCTTAAAAAATAAGAACATGATTATACTCTTTATGATATCGACTGTACATCCTTATGGTTCGGTAGACGCTTAAAATATTTAACACAAAACCGCCAGGAAAGTTAAGAGGCAAACACTTTGACGTATGGGGTATGTCTAGAATAAACTGCGCATGTAATAAATATGGGCTTAAAAGAAAGACAGAAAGCTGGAAGGGGCTTTATGCGCTGTGTTTAAGAAAACCAGTTTTAAAATAAGGCAGTAGCTGATGTTTTAACGTAACGGCTTTTAAAAACAGAAAATGTGTGCTTGAGCGTTAATTTCACAAGGGATGGCGATTCATCTAAACATTGTGTTCATCTAAATATACATAATAGTTGTTGTAATAAGCGCTATTATGCTTGCAACTGTATGTACTGTAGTACTGTACCGACATTATAAGAAAGACAACATACAGTTCGTTTGTTTCAGCCGAAAGACGTTCACTGCTGGACAACGGCCTCCCCGCGACCTCCAGATCGTTGGTCGACATACGAGTACAGTAGGATTTAAAACCAGCTTTAGAAACCTCTTCTGGAACGAACAAGTATTTATTTAACTACGTGCACAGTGGTCGTAGTTTTTACCTCGTGTAACATAGACAACTTATAGCAATTTCAGTTCCTAATTCCACCTTCTCTTTCCCCAGCGTGAAGACAGAACAAGTGCCAGGCGGAGCGGACAGCCTGCTGAGGCTGGCGCGAGTGAACAGCACAGACGCCGGCAACTATACATGTGCTGTGCGCGGCGCGAAATCCCACACAGTTTCTGTGCATGTGCTCAATGGTAAGCACATCAATCAAGCAATCAATCATCAAAGTAAAGCAAACTACGATGCGCTCGTTATTAGATTGAGCCCATCCTCACCATATTATTTAATAGCATTTATCACAAGCAACTTGGTGCTTCGAAAGACACTTTAAAAGTATGTTTCTGTAGGTAAGTTAATTATTTTCACAATAAGAGCTATTAAGTTTAGGTAAATGCGTTGCTAACAATTCGCAAAAACAATAATTACAAAAAAATAGCTACTTATCCTATTTTCTCAGTATTGGGCATAATACTTAACAATTGAATCGTATCTCCTCTGAAATAAAACATCACAATCAGTAGTAAAAACGTAGCAACTTGAAATGTCCAAAAAACGTTCTTAAAACTGACAGACAAACAATTTACAGGCTGAGAAAGTTTCAAAATTTTAATACTTAAGGTCACGCTTGTAGGTCGAAGGTCAGAAAGGCTTTATAGAGAGTTCTAGCGTAAAATCGCCCACGACTTGCCGCAAAGGTAGGTACCTACTAGGGTTGCCAACATTTCATTAGCGAAATATAGTATTTTCCAAAATAAGGTGTAAAAAAATATAGTACATTTAAAAAAAATATAGTATTTTATGGGAAAAACAAAAAAAATAGACAAATATACATTTTTTAATTATTTATTTTTATAAAACTATATTTTTTTGCAGTTCTTGCGCTGTGTAACAGTTTTTTGTATAAAATAAAAGTGTCATATTCATATGCTTTGTCACATTCTATTTTTAAATTAATATAAATCAAAAAGCTCATTTTTTATTAATGATACACTACTTCTGTTTCTTTCTTCTCGCCACTTTGAATTCATAACCGAATATATCCTTTCTGTAAATGCCGAAGTGGCGGGAATAGAGAGCAGGAATGAAATTACTTCAAATAAATTTGGTAAGTCATTTTCAGTATTTTTTAAAATAAGCTGCCATTTTTGGCCTGTAGTTTTGTCAGTAAAGTCACTACAGTCTTTTAATTTAGCAATGATTTCATTCAATATCGTTATTTCAGAGTATAGGTCGTCCATTTTGATACTCAATTTTTCTTGTAAATTTAGAACTTCTAATATTGTCTCACAGTCATTAAATGAAACCTCCTTTTTTAAATTTAATTTTTGGATTTTAAATAACCAATTGCTTTCACTGAAATCAAACCATTTATTAATATAGTCTAAACATTTATCAAAAAAAAGCAAAAAAATCTTTTGAATTCCATAACTTTCGGTGGGGGGGATTTTGCTTCTAATGATTGCAACATTTTTTTTGTTTTGTAACCAAAAAAAATATCTTTTTTTACGTTGTTCTAACGCCGATTTTAAAATTGACATAATATGTTGTGATAAGGATAGAGACAAGCAATTTTTAGTTTTGCAAAAGTAATACGATAGAGAATAATACAAAGCAATAAAAACCACCTGTTATAGGGGCATTTTTTGGAGAAAGTGATCAAATAACAAAAAAAACAAGAATTTAAAAGCAGATTTTTTTTTCAAAAACTATATTTTTTTAATATTTGTTGGCATTTTCTGGGTATTTTATGTATTTTATTAGTATCGCCTGTTATGTATTCAGCATTATTATTGTTTTTATTTTATCAGGATATACCTCTTAGTTTAAAAGTTATTACGTTTTCTTTACGAGAAGTAATTAGAAGAAAAAAAATTCTATAAAAAAATTCTGTAAAAAATCTCAAAAATTTTTCACATATTTTCATATGTGCACTTTATCGTGACTCACACTGTATATTTTGGGGATCTTCAGTAATCCAGTCATACTTTCTTTTCCACTCCGGTTTATTTTATTTGGAGTCTTTTTGGTATTTTTCGTTTTTTAATCGGCGTTAGCGGCGCAATAGAATTTGACGCACTTTCGTTATCACTACCACTTTCCATAGCTAATTTATATAAGATTTCAACTTTTCAAAAGAAATAACAACATCTAGTTTTAAAACGATTCTGCCGATAAATAAAGCAGACCAAAATATCGTTTGACGACGTTAAAATTTGCGTTGTCAATTTGACATTGACCAGTTCGTTACGTGCGATGGGGCGGTTCGAATACCGGACTAATATGCCAGGGGTCACGGATTTGATTCCCACACTGTACAAACATTTATTTTTATTAGTCTAGGAGTTTCTATGTATAAGTTTACTGTGGTCTAGTACCCATAGAACAAGCTTTGCTTAGTTTGGGACAAGATGGCGCAGCCCAAAATGTTAAAGTTTAAAAAAATCATAGATCCAATATACTCGTACTTAATGTACGTACGGATAATAGTACCTTTATCAAATGTTTCACTATTGCTACTTATCTATTGAAATAGGTGTGATTTTGAAGCTGGAAAATAAAATCTGATTTGCTGGAGATTGCCCAACAATCTTACAAATAACACATCCTGATTCTATTTATATTAATTTCCCGAAATGGTACTAAGCAAACGCGATTCAACTCCATATCTATCTTCACACTTTATCTGTCTCTTTCATTGCGGTCAGTGATACTCAGTGAGTGAAAGGAAGAAAAAAAGTCGAAGATACGAAAATAGGGTTAAGAATAGGCCCCCAGAAATAAGGAATAATGACAGCAAACAATTACTTGGGTCGACTTCCCACGCCTATATCTGACTGGAAAAAGAAAGAAGGTCAGATTTTTGTGTGGCCCCGGTAAATTGTGGAACCCTTTCAAAATTAAATCTGATGAAACCAATAAAGCTTAAAGTATTTACTGGAATTTTGATAGAATTCATGAAGACCATATAAAAAAATTTGATAAATTGAGTACCTACTGGACGGAACGAGTAACTAAAAGGCTAAAAGTTGCGGATTCGATCTACGCGCAATAACACACACATTTGCATGTCCATATCGAGAATGTATTTATTTGGGTGTTTATGTATGTGTATACCTATTTCCAAAAAATAAAGGTACAAACTTAAATATCTGAGATATTAAGTAGTTACCACAATAAAAAAATCACAACTGAAAATATCCAAATATCTCGCTTGAGTACGCGACAACACCTTTCATCTCTATGCTTCCAAGAATTCATTTATTCAGTGATTTTGTAACTTTCTGAAAACATTAAAATAATAAAAGTAATTTTTACTCGCAATTTTATTAAAACGTAAATCAGTATTTTAACCAGTATTTGGATTAACATAATATCGGTATAATAACTTAAACAGCTTTAGTACAAGATTTCAATTAACAACTCATTTACAGAGTTTCAACTTTGAACTCTAACGTAATGGATTACTTTTGTTAAATATTGAACCAATTTCGGTTATTTTAATACTTAGTCCGTAATCGAGATGATCTGAAATCCAGAAGTTCTGGAACTTTGTGTCTGGACTTGATTATTCTTAGTTCAATTCTTAGTTTAAATTCTTAGTTATTAGTTATCTGGGAATGAAAAACGATGGTTGTGATTAATAACAACGTGGCTTGATTGGACGTCGAAAACAAGATAATTAGTTTAAATTGTTAATTTTACGAAACAACAAAACAACTTTAGTAGACAGGGTGTAAGGTAGTGACTGGGAAATATTAAACGGTTAAGAATAAAGAATAAAGTACCGTATACGTTTTGGGAAAGGAGGCAAACGAGCAAACGGACACCCGGTATATAAAAATATATTCTATGCTATAATATTTTTTCGATTAGAATCACTTCGCTGTGCGTTTTACGTAACAAATGTTTTGTAGTAATAAAAGTTATTTTATAAGATTTTAAACTTTCGCGTTCTATTTCAACGAACATAGTAATACACGGGTCTTAACGCGACGTTTTATAATGAGTTACATTATGTACTCACGGCTTGACATCTGCTTGTGACCACGGCTGCAGCATAGCAGCCGAAACGCCACGTTATAACCCGTATCTTACTATTTTAAAAGTTATTTTGTAATAAAAATGTATACTCTATAATGAGCTATTGACTATACCTACGTTTATCGAAACGTTAAAAAAGAAATTAATAAAAAAAGTTTGCTTTTCATTTCCGAAAAAAGACATGATAAGTTCAGTAAGTGATCAGAGTTCACTTGCAAAGTTTTCCCTGCCTGTCCCTAACACCTGGTGCAGAGTAAAATTAGGCCTATATATTTTTAATATTCTCTTCTCCGTTCTTTCCATTAATTTAATTAATACAGCACACTTTTTTTTGTTGCAAACTTTATGCGCCATGGTCCGTGCGACTGTCACGTAAAAACGTAAAACTGTACAGCATATTTTCTCCCATGGGTATTTTACCCATGAATTTGCCTTTTCGTATGAAGAGTATATCGATAGTGGAAGTATCAATTAATGTAAGGGACATTTTGGCCAAAATGAGTTATATATACCAACGCATTCAGAATTTTCGGCTCTATCGATTGGTATACTTGAAATGTTGATATCTTTAAAAAAATGTCCCTTACCTTAAACATTTTTAGTTGGCTGAATACGACTTTTGGGGAAACAAATGATTTAAAGGACGTAAATTCCTTTTAATAATACAATTCAGCCCTTACCCTAAACTGTTGGTTTTAACTTTTGAACTCATTGAACCTTACTTCATTTAAAACTTATTGATTTATCATAATTAGGCCCTTACGTTAATATTATGCATATAGGATATCAATTACTTTTTTTGGTGGTGATATGCATTTAATGCCTCCCACTCCTAATACACTTATGAACACTAAGTTGTCTTGTTTCTATCTTTTTTCTGTTCATTTTTACGCAGTTGGGTTTTTGACCGAGGGGCTGAAGGCTCTTCAGAAGCTGTTCAATTCCGTCATCCTCGAAGGAAAAACGCCTACGGTATGGCACAGAAGTGTGGTGACACTCTTCTTCAAAAAAGGCGACAAAACCTTGTTGAAGAATTATAGACCCATCTCACTTCCGAGCCATGTCTACAAGCTGTTTTCGAGAGTCATTACGAATCGTCTCGCTCGTAAGCTCGATGACTTCCAGCCTCTCAATCTCTCAATCGCTTTAGTACACCACATACATACGCCACGGCAGATTATACAGAAGACCGAGGAGTATAGTCAGTCACTTTGCCTGGCGTTTGTGGACTATGAGAAAGCTTCGATCGAGACCTGGGCAGTACCTACTACAGTTTCTCCAACGGTGTCAAATTGACTACCTATATCGATACATCGAAATGTTGAAAGGCTTGTACGAAAACGCCACAATGTCGTTCCGTCTCCAGGATCAAGACTCGAAACCAGTTGCAGCAGCAGACAGGGGGAACTGAAAACTCCGAAACTGTTTCTGGACTGGAACGGATTCGGCATAAATATCAACGGTGAGTAAATAACCCACCTTCGATTCGCAAACGATATCATAGCCATGGCTGAGACCGTGGAAGATCTAGGCACAATGCACAATGGCCTGAGTCGAGCCTCTCAACAAGGGGGTCTTAAAATGAAACATGGACAAGACAAAATCATGTCAAATGTCCGTGTTGCACCCACTCCTCTAAAGGTTGGATACTCTACACTCGGCAGTTGTTGACACTTATATGTACCTAGTACAAACAGTCCAGTTAGGCTGGTTATAGTGTCACGCGGACCGTCCAGTGCGGATCCGCTTCACACAGCCGATCTGTAAACTTCGAGGAAGCGTTTTAGAGTAATGCGGTCCGCAGGAATCGCTCGCTCCCTATCAGTTCATACAGATTGGCTGTGCGGAGCGATCCGCACTGACGGTCTGCGTGACACTAAAACCAGCCTTAGGTAGGTCTAACTTCGAGGAAGAGGTCAATCGTCGAATCCAACTCGGCTGGCAACGTTCAGGAAGCTTCGTGATATTCTCACGTCTGAAATATCGCACTGTCTCAAGACAAAAGTCTTTGATAACTTATGGATCTGAGACGTGGTCGCTTACTGTGGGCCTCATAAGAAGACTCAAGGTCAAAGGCGATGGAGCGTGCTATGCTCGTAGTGATTGAACCAGAAATGACGTGATCCGCAGGAGAACCAAAGTGACTGACATAGTCCGCAGAATCGCTAAAATCAAGTGGCAGTGGATGGAGCTCGTAGCTTGCAAAGCTGATGGCCGCTGGGGCAGAAAAATTCTTGAGTGGCGACCACGAGCTGGAAGACGTAATGTGCTGCAGACCCCCACTAGGTCGACCGACGATCTGGTGAAGGTTGTAGGAGGTGCCTGGATGCGGGCGGCGCAGGACCGGTTGTTGTGGAAATCCTTGGGGGAAGACCTTTGTCCAGCAGTGGACGTCATTCGGCTAAAACGAACGAACGATGATTGAAAAAAAAACCTATCTGCGTAAAAATGAACAGAAAAAGATAGAAACAAGACAACTTGTTCACAAATGCAGATGTAGGCATCATCAGTGACTAAATGTTTTGTTGGTGATGTGTATTTGATGCCTCCAACTGCATTTGTGAACACTAAGTTGTCTTGTTTCTATCTCTTCTCTTCGTTTTGTTAATGAATACTCGAATGCAACCTCTACTTACATCAGGTTTCAATGTTAAAATTGTCAAGTTACAATAATATTACTGTCGTGTTTATTCTTAAATGTACCTTACAACATACATGACATTCCATACTGTGAAATTTCAACATTGTAAGGTACAGTCAAGCTCGTTTTTTTAATGTAAGGGACATGCTATCTTTTAAACTACCCATTTTTCGAAAATTTGGCGTTTATATTATGAAAGAACAGAAAATTCTAAGAAACTTTGCCATAGAAACTATTTAAATCGTAACATCACATAAAAAGATATTGAGGTATAAAGAAAAAAAAAATCGTTTTTTGGCTCTCCTGAAAAGTCGTGTTTTGTCCCTTACAGTAATTGATATTTCCACTATCGATATAGAGCTATTATATTTTTTATCAATTTGTGAAGTCTGTTTATCAGCAAACGTTTCGCCATTCAATTGAAATGGAATTATTTTTCCTAAAATAATTTTCAGAATTGCTTCCACCCACTACGTTATTGAACCTACATTTAGAAATGGTGCTCCATTCTGGTCTTTTATGAGTTAACGGACAATAAACTTTTCGCTATCTAACTTGCTTTCGTCCAATTGAATATCTAAAAAGAATTCATCGTAATTATTTCTAGAAGGAAACGCTAAAGTCACAAATATCATTATCACGAAGAATGCTTGCCAAGTTTTTTAACTGCTGTCTTAAGATACTTTTTGGAACAGTGCCTGAAATTTATGTATAAGTTTTCATTTCTTCTTGGATTCATATTTAGGTTTGTCTTGTATTCCTGGAGTTCTTTTATTTTCCAAAAACAATAGGTAAATAAAAAGATCGAGCAACTTCAAATTGAAGTGTGTGAACTTAAATTCTTAAAAGAGTTTTAAAGACAATATGATCAGTAGGAAACATACAAAAAATGAACATAAGAACTAAACAATAATATGATAGAGCCCACACACTGATACACACAGAGAGAGAGAGCACAAACAGACAGTTTTCATCAGGACATTCATAATAATAATGATGAAAACAATGTTGTTATCAGCGGGATGCCCGTTGAAAATTGAACATCCTTAATATTCCCTTATTCTCTTTCATGCAAATCATTGTCAGCCGTTGTGTATCAATTATTATTAATTTAAAAGTAGGTAATTAGTTTTAAACAAATATTATTTTAAAAGCACACTATTTTAATTCCTGAGAACTGAATGTCGTTTCGTCGAATATTGTGATGTTTTATTTCCACGTTAAAGCTACGAAATTAAAAACAAAACGGAGCACGTAATCCCATTTAAAAATTTCAATTCGTTCATCACTAACAAGCGCTTTTTGTTCCAGAGAGCCTCGCGGAACTCCACGCCGGCGGGAATCAGATTCCGTCGTCGCCAATAACGATAGTAACGTTATTATTGTTAATCGTTATAACGGAAAAACCGTTATTCCCCACTGTGATGTTGCTAGCAGCACTATTTTGTTTCGAAGTAACGGTACTGGCCAAAGGCCCGCGCGATCACTTCATTGTGTTGTTACCCACGTGATATAAAAGTTTAGATTGTGTAAATAAGTTCGATGTAAAGATGATAAAATAAACTATTAATGTTACTGTAAAATAAAATTTCATTACATATTTTGGTGTTTTTTTTTTCTTGTTCCTACTGGCTGAAAACAACAATAGTTTACAAGCGAGTTTCGGATAAAGAATAATGTAAATACTTGGTAAGTATTTTTCTGACATCTACTTTGTTACAATAAAAAAAGCAAAGTTATTAGTTCACTGACCTAGACGCGATGTTTTTGTAGGTTTAGGAGAGTCGTCCAATTTTACAAAAGGACAATGACCTAGTAAAGATGAATTATGAAGATTAATATTTCAAGGATTTTCCACTCAGAAAGATTTTACACACAAAAAGGATAAAAAATAAAAATGAGAAAAGAAAAAGAAGAACTTGATTGGAATTAACCTAAATAGTTATAAGATATAATACAAGAATGAAGTTTCACGGATATAACCTTCCAACCAATACCTTAATAATAATGCTAATGCATTATTTAAATGTAAATCTTCTATACCTAGAGCTTACCATGAATTTACGTAGATGTGCTCGTTAGCAAGTGCGTCAAAAAAAAATTATATTTTGCTATTGAGAAATTGTACAAACAGCACTAACTAAAATAGTAATAAGATTTAATAATAATAATAATAAGATTTATTTATTTCTCACACAAAAATACAGGAAAAATATACAATATTTAAAGAAAACTCATTAATGATTGTGTGAGACCGGAGCCTGAGCTAGGTAAATGAACACAGGTAGTGTTACAGGTCACCGGGCCCCCACCACCACGGATTTGAGCAAGTATAGCTAGCAAAGGCGAGAACATTTTAAAATACTAATAGATTAAACAATTTATACAAGAGAAACGATAATCTAACCAAAATTCTATATTCAAAATTATATTAATTTAAATTGTATTATCAGATATAAATTAAATTGAATTGAAATATTAAACAAAATTGAAATAATATAAATTAAATTGAGTTGATGTAAATAAAATAAAATTGATATAAAATTAAATTGAATTGGTATAAATTAAATTGAATTAATAGTAGTAGCTAATTTAAATTTTGATTAACCAAGTTTGAAAGAAAACACCAAAAGTAACTACAAGCTTTTATCCACCTAATTAGTTTCTTCATGAGTAAATACTTCTTTACTCTTCTGATAAATACAATACAAAAGTTTCGCTTAAGAAGAACTCCTAAATAATTTATCAGGCAAAAGTTTTGCCGTGATAAGTTAAGCAGTATCTGGAATTATCGGAATAATTGGAATAATAAACAAGTGAAAGAATTAGGTGTGTACAAAACTTTTCATAGTAACCTAGAATAAAAGCTACATTGCTATTACGCCCGCACCTGTTGGTACGAGCAAAGCTCGTGATTTTTTGAAGCATTTCTAATTTCTATTGCAATCTATGAATTCTACAATTCAAAATCATTTCATGTGAAATGTTGCCACTCGCTTTCTTAAAAAATTATCAGATCTTATGTAGAGCCAATATTTCCACTACACGCCCTGACTCTACAAGCCCTTACAAAAAAAACTCCACACTTTAGTCAACATTAGTACAAGGCCGTAGGTACGGTGAAAAAATTATTCACTATTCATTACTTTTCTGATAGATAGTTCTCTTAGTAACGAAACGGCCAAGCCCACGCCATATATTTCGACTAAGGTAGAGTTTGTTTAATTATTTACAGCACCTTCATTCATGCAGTAATGAAAATTATTATTTTCTTCATAAAAATATGGAAGTATCAAACAAAACCACACCTTATTAGTGTTATTAATTAAAGAACAACAAAAAATATCTACTACTTTAATTACAATTTAAAATGACAGTTGGTACTTTTTCGTGACCTCTTGAAAATAACTACTATTCCTTAAATTATTACCTTTGCCAGCAAAGTGTAAATAATTTACTCAAAAATGTCTAATAATTACAGACTTAGCAACTGTATTTCGAATTCAATGCTATCCTATATAAACCCACTAAAATATTGAGTTCAAAGTAAAACAACAAAGCTTTACAATTATTTTTGTTCTAAATTACACGTGCTCCATTCGCAGACAAACACGTGTAATATTTTTCTTTTTTCGAGATATTTAGATTTAAATGAAAACTGAACTGAAGGTATGTTATCATTCCATTAGCAGAATTGAAGCGAGTTAGGTAATAAAACAAATATCATCGCTAATCTAATAAATCCGATGAGTAAAAGTTACAAGCAAGCGGATTGTTGGAACGAAGCGTACAGTTTGTACTACTTTAAGGCTGAGTTGCACCACCTAACTATAACGGTAACTATGACAATAACCGGTGCGTTTTGTATGGAGATTGACAAATTTTTGACGTTTGTCAAAGTTAAAGTAAGATGGTGCAACCCAACCTAAATGTTAACCTGTGATGCGACAATAGCCCTATGGTGTCGGCGCTGTCCAAATCGAGATTTATTTTATTTTTCTTTATTCAGAAAATCAAAGCTCTTTAAAATACTACAAAGAGATCAGAGATCCAAGGAACGCGGGTTTGAGCCGCACCGCGCCACTATCACACAAGCATGTTAGCCTACCACGAGGGGTTAACGGAACAATTAGGCTGAGTTGCACCCTCTTACTTTAACTTTGACAAACGACAAAAAGTCCAACTCAATACAAAAATCACCAGTTATTGTAACGTTTAAAATAAGGTGGTGGTGGTGGCAACTCAGTCTTAGTAACTTATTTAAAAATAAATACTAACAGGTCCAATGAACAGGCGATTTGAGATAGAAAAGAGACTATTCTTGCTCTGAACTAGTTGGAAAAAGACCATGTCCAAAAGGTCTTCATTATTTACACTCCAGAGTCTTTTCCATCTTGTTATGTGGCAGTAAGGGATTTTAAAGACTGACTACTGACAGCCGAACGTCGGAGTGTGATCCTATAAAATCCTATTTCCTTTTAGGTTACAAAATCCTGAACACATAAACATGGTACAAACCGTATTAACATCCTCCTTTTACAGAAGTAATTCGTAAAAGAGTTTATGCAAGCAAACCGTCTGATATATTAACAAACATGTTAAACATGTAAGTCGCCTTAATAGAAAGCGTGTAGTTGATACTTTTACCAATGCACGGTGTATTGAATGCGGTTGTTTGAAAGGCAAACAGCTGCACTAAGATGCAGCTTTGCCTTGATGCTGCTGTGGTGTGAAGTACGAGTTAGGAGCGATTTTGACATTATTAATTACATTATGACGTCACACAGTTTGACAGTCCTTAAACTAGAAATCACGCTCTATTGTATCCCTTTTGACGACAGTGAATGGGTTAAATAAGCAGCTTTACTTTCTTGATAGAACTGTGCTGTGAACCACAAAATGGTAGCGATTTCTTGATAATAATAAAACGTAACGTCACACAAAGCGAATTTTTTTAAGCTGAGTTGCACCAGCTTACTTTTTACCGTACCTAACTATAACAATAACCGGTGTTTTTCTATGGAGTTTGACAGATTTTTGTCGTTTGTTAAAGTTAAGGTCAGATGGTGCAACTTAGCCTTAGTGTCACATTGAAATTACACATTGGCACGTTTTGGCAAAAGATTTAGGCCCAATCTCTACAAAAAGAATTTGCTGTAATTATTTAAAAAGTTATCAAAACAGTTTCGTAAGATGTTTTGCATTTTAACAAGATATTAAAAATATCCATCCAAAAGCAAACAACAGCCCAAATAAACTAATATAAATTTATAAATTGAAGTTTTTTTTAACCGTTATTTTTAATCGTTTAAAAACGTATTCCTCCGTAACTTGGCCCACAAGTAGCTTAAAGCCAAGTTTAATACACAACTAATACACGACGTCGTGAATCACTAACTACACCGTGCGATACGTTGCTATTTGCAATACAAATGGAATGCTTGTACAAACTACTTCCACCACACTAATGTTACTTGACGAATTATTGGGAACCAACTTCAAACATTGAAAGGATGTTAATTTAAATAGAAAAAAGATAAAAATATTGCACGTTTTAAGCATGAATGTAGGTTTGTAAGGAAAATTATTATTTTTAAAGATGACCGATTGAGATTTGCTTAACAATAAGGCTGGGTTACCATCTCACTTTGACTGTAACAAATTAATGTCAAAAATATGTCAAACTCCATACAAAAATCACCGGTTATCGTTAGAGTTACGGTCAAAGTTTGGAGGTGTAGCTCAGCGTAATGAAACAAAAGAAAGTCTCATCGTGTACTGGCGTAAAAAATTATAATGTCAATCAAAAAAAATTTTTCTGGTTAATAAAAAAAAACATTCTAGAATTATTAGTTCTCAATGATTGCCGTGCATAGCCCAGGCCATTGTTTTGGTTTGGAATTAATTCAAAAATATTTTTCAAATGTTCTTTCGTGCATTTCAATCTACTCGTACAATCAAATATTCTAACGCATAGGAATTTTCATATTCGATAGCATAGTTCACAGTGATATTGAGTTGCCAATGGTAAAAAATATTCTGTTAAAAGCAAAAGTAGAGTACGTAGGTAAATTTTTGTTGCAAATTACTTTATTACTGTTCGAGAGTTAGGAAAGATATATGGTCACAACGGAGGATGTAAAAAAAATGATTTTATTTAATAAATTTAATTATTACAGAGTTACAATATTACAATAGTGAGACTCGACAGATGCTAGGTACAAGAATGAATGTAAAATATATTAATTAAAATAACACAATGCAGTGATTGACGTCAATGGAGGCACGAGGCGCGATGTCAGCGTTTTCGGTTACTGGCTGTTGCAATCCGTGAATGGGGGCAATGCTGCTTGTGCGATATCCATACATTAGGGCTCCGTAACATAGGTATAAACATGTTGAAAGTAACAAAATATTTTCATCCATAAACCTCCTCAAACATAACTTTGAAATACCGTTACACGTTAAAACAACAAAGTCTAATCTCATAACGATAACGTTATGTTATTTTGTAATTAGATACCGTTATTTTGCTGCAATGGCCTGTGTAACAAAGGGCGACCGC